TGAAGAATAAGTGACTTACTTTGGCTTATGAGAGCAATAATCAGCTTTCACTTATATAAAAAAGATCGTCTCTAGTTCACATAGTCTATATTGTCCACAGCGGACTATGTAATTCAAAGTGTTCTGAAGTGTATTCTACTAATTGCGAGGTTGAACTTGCTTTCATATATTCCATTTTTATCACAGATCGGATACACATCTTTTCCTCTAGTCTCCAAATTATTGAAATCATTAGCCCAATTTCAACATTCGGCATTTCTTTTGAAAATCGTCTATTGTACTTGCTCCCGGTCATTATCTTTATTCTCTCCTCTTTGTATATCTCCATAGTCGACATACCTTATGTGCTCTCTTACTATATGCATATTGAGCGCGCTTCGAAATAGCACTAGATCCTGAATACTAACTGGTGAGACCCAGTTGATGTCGAAACTGCAGTCCACCCTGGACTGAAATACTTTTTTCAGGCAGAACTGAGTGAAGCCTAGTCATATAATTATGGAAAAACTCGACTATCAATCCTTCATCTTTATATGCGGCTTAGATTGCGTACACTTATTCGCCATGTCTTATTTGCTTGAAGCCTTTTTTCACGAAGTTCATCTTTACTTACTCGGAATAAGGCCTTTGTGAATACATCTGGGGGTACTCTCTCTTCTGCTAAACCCCCTGCTATTATTTGTCCTTCAATTACAGATCTATATGCACTAGTATTTAGCTCGCATAGTCAAGACGAGCTGAGGCTGGCATCAACGAGACTATGCAGCCATTATATGGACCGTAAGATGTTTCTTTTTTGATAGTGTAGCCCTGAAGAGTTGAATAAATCTCTATTAACTGTAGCGACTTTTCGCCTTCTTGACTGGCAGCTCAGGTTTTTACTGTCATGCAAGCGAAAAATAAGCAGAGTTTCTACCATCTAATCTCTATCTTTTGGTAAATTTGCCTTGAGTTCATGCTGTTGTGCCTCACAAAAGTATAACTCTCTCGAGTAGTTACTGCACAGAATCGATTTTGAAAGGGCTATCTCACTGGTTTGTTAAAAAGCAAACGTTTATTACTCCTGTTTAGTTGTCAATTTTCTCAGATTGGTAAAAAGGATCCATTTCATTGTAATCGGTTTACCAACTATTGATGCTCCTTTCTACCAGTAACAAAGATTTCCTACAAATTTTGTCACAATCATCCTTAAATTTGTCAGTACTCTATTCGATAGATAAGGAATATTCATACCATAATTTTGATGTATATATTGGGAGTAAATCTAATTTTAGCCCAAGGGGTGAAAATGGCTATTATACACTTTGAAGCTCTGATTATTGGTCTAATAACAATGAATTGGGGCAAAGGTATAACTGCAATGGTGCTTTGATTAAATTTAGTTTATGATAAATTCATACTTATCTACTCGACGTCATGCATCTTACCCCTACTCTTTAACCCAATGAATATTTGAGCGTATGAAGCTGGTTATAATATGTCTTCTTGTGAAGTTACATTTCCTGTATCTTATTCCTGTTGGCTCTGTGGATTCAATTCAGATTGGGTTCAAATTTTGTTCTATCTCAGATGAAAATCTACCTTTGGAAGACATGATGCAGTGAATCCGTTTTAAAAATGGGACATATCCTTTTCTTTTCGTCTTTAGAAAAATCAGCTCTCTGTGTCTAAGGCGATCATATTGGTCAAGGTTGATAATTCCTCATGGATCCACTTTTTTCTGGGACTCTTCAGCTTCTAAGTATCTTTTACGATAATCGCAGGGCTCTTCTTTCTGAAAGTCATCCATTTAATTAAGTTGGCTCGGATGAAAAAAATGGTAAAAATTATCACGCTTTGGGGCCGCTATCCTATTTTGTCTCTTTCTTATAAAATAGTATTTGCTGCCTTCATTAAAGATTCTTTATTATGATCTATTTCTCTTGAAGAACCGCGAACTTCGCTCTCGTTTGGCTCGGATTCGTACTGAGACTGATATTGGCCACTCTTCAGTTCTGCCTATCACATGCACACCAGCAACCGGTGCGGTTTCTCGTGGTCGTAGCAGCCTGGCTCTTTTGCCCACTTATTCAGCTGCAATGCAGACCTGCAAGGTGAGGAGGCGATTGAATAATTGGAGTATTTGAGAGTTACAATTAAACGCTTTATATCATTATACTCTCCTTTATTTCATACAAAGGCGTGATGAAGATTTTATTAATCCGACCCCACCATAATTCAATGCTATACTCTTCTTAGCATGAATTTATTTATTTACCAGTACCTTAAAACTGAAACAGTCCTCCGGGCATGCTCACTCAATTTCGATGAAAATTGGAGGAGCTATCGTTTGTCTCCTGAATTTTTCATTTAATGACTTCAAGCCAACATGGATCTCAAAACTAACCTCCACAAAAGTGATTTTTGTAAACAGGCTATTAGCACAGTTTATTGTCAGTAACTATGTGTATGAAAAAGTATATAAATGCGAAACCATCACTGATGCCTGCGATTAATGAAAAAACATCAATGGTCTATGCGAGCCGCAGGGTGGATACGGCCTTCAATACGAGCTATGCCTCCTATAAGTCACAATTACTGTTGGATTTCGGATGAGGCAAGCATGTATCTGTTATTACGATTTACAATTTTGCTTATATCAAACGTAAGTATGTTTCAAAACTAGCAGTGATTATTGAATAAGAACATTGTCATCCTGACTCCCTTAAAGAGATTTTCAGCACTGACAATGTAGTATTCCCCACAACCATATGATTAGATCTCGTGGTCGCTTTCCTCCCCAAAAGGATTTATAATCCAGAATTTCAAGAGTTACTGATAGTTTTAAAACATATTCACGTCGGATATAAGTAACATCTTCAAATGTAATGAAAAATATAAATTTGTTATATCGACAAGGATGCCCATTGACTGGCATCTGTGGCTGTTTAGCGGAGTTATACCATGTAGATATGATGCTCTACATCCGGTTTCTAGATCTACTAGGGATGGTGATGAGACCTAAGCGAGGTCGAAGCTATAGTCCAGGTAGGATAAAAAAACCTTTTTCATATTAGAGCTAAGTAAAATTCACTTGCGTTTTAGTGGAAAAAACTGCTCTATCGCTACTTAATTGCACCCTTTGCGACCTTGGATGATTAAATTCCTCATCAAGAATATCTGATTTTATCAAAATAGACTAACGCCGAAAAGAAATAGAATAGAAAGTATGAAGGCAAATATGGTGTGGCCTTTTGTGTGGTCGCAGTCTCCTTTCGTTGTATAGAAGTTGTTTGATCTTGTTTTCGCAACATGGTCAAATTGGTAGGAAGACTTAGAGGAACGCACCTAGTCCGGAGTCCATTGTATGCATGATCATTTCCTTTTGGTAGGAAGACTTATAGAAACGCACCTGGTCCGGAGTCCATTGTATGCATCATCATTTCCAGAGTAGGACCGTGGACGTATGGTAGGAAGATTGATAGAAACGCACCTTGTCCTGAGTCCATTGTATGCATAATTATTTCCAGTCGGAACGTGGACGTGGTACATTCCCAGACGTTTCGCCGGCATCGTAGTCGGCATCGTTAGTGAGTTTTACCATTC